GTCATGATACTGTTGCATAAATCGTTTTGTTACTTTTGAAATTAACGTATCACGAAATGGGTGCATTATGGAGTAGATTAATTTAAAAGAGTTAATGAAATAGATTGAGGTGGAAAAGTTAATGAAATAGATTCATGTGAAAAGTTAAGAAAGTATAGCTAGTTTAATGCACTACTTTCATCGTGATACATGATGCATTATATCAGAAGTTGAACCGCTCTGTTGTTAGAATGGTCATGAAACGAGTGCATATTGGATTTTGTTCTTTTTGAAATATACGTATAATGAAACRGGTGTATGATGRGATAGATTAAAGTGAAATATATAACGAAATAGTTTCATGTGAAATATGTAATGAAAAAAATTAAAAAAAAATTAATGAAATACATTCATCATGAAAGTGTTTCATTGTAACGAAATAATTTCATTGTAATGCAAGTTTAATTTTTCAAAGTTATTCGAGATTAATGCACAACTTTCATCGTGATACATGATGAATTGTATTTTTCAAAGTTATTCGACATACCTCCATTATTGCCGACCATTTTTCTTGAATATGCTGATGATCGATGATTTTGGAAACACTATATTCGATTGGGAAGAAGTGATACCTTTGCAATGATTTGGGAATGTTCGCGATGAAGACGGGATTCTGATGAAAGATTGCGATTAGGAGCTTAGGAATTGTTAATTATGTTTACCATTATACCCTTATTGATTAAATAAACTGAATTTTTTTTTTATTTTTTTTAATTTCCATAAATAAAGCCTACAAATCTTGACCATTGATCAAGAAAATGGATGGTTGAGATTGGTTCACACGGTTTACACAAACGGAGAGGGTTCGCATTTGAACGCTCCTCTATATATATATATATATATATATTATGATATAAGATTCAAGTTTACAAGTTAATTATTGATTCAAATCGATATTCATTAATTCATTTATCGACTCAAAGTTGATCAATTTTATATTTTGGTTGCCTGGTTTTTTAAACAAATAAATATGTCATTTGGCTCATCTCGATTTGATAAATTTAATTGAGCTTTCGATCCAGTCCAGTAGAATGTCGATATTTTGAAGCTCGACTTGTTTAAGTTAAATAAGCTTCATATTATGCTCGAGGTCGACTCTATCTAGAATGTTATTAAATTCAAGCTCTAGTAGTAGGTGTGTATGTGTGTGTGTGCGTATGAGTTGAGTTCTGGTGAGAAAGAAAGTTATGGTGAGAAACGTAAGAAGAGATCTCCACTCTTGGATCAATCCTAATTGAACGTCAACACTAATGAGATGCCCAGATTAATTCCCTTATAAAGCGTAATTCATCTTTGGGCATAAGATTAAAAGTGATCAAGGGTTCAGATTCCTTCTTATGCTTCTGAACATAACTTTGCCTCTCACACGATCATTCACCTTATAGAATGACCATCAGGAGACTTGGAGATGTCTGTACCAAATAATATACAAATAACTAGTTACATCAAGTCAAGCTTTATTTTACTTGGCATATATGCCAAACATGACCTAGGTGAACAAAACCTGTGCTTACCAATTGTATCGTAACAGTTGAAATATATGTAACAGTGTGCAAGTTCAAACTTTACAGGTATAATTGGTTCAAATTTGCATAATCTGGTAATAAAGAGAAACATAATATTAGATTGGGGTAAATGTATGAAATAGCAACTTACTCTCATAAATTTAGTTAGAAAAAAATGGCTACAAAAACGTTTGTTAATATACGACTAAATACGACTTTTAAACATTTTAAGATACTTAGGGGTCGTTTACTAAACGCTTACTTGGTAAGTACTTACTGGATAAATTTTCTCATCGAACGAACATGACAAGGGTCAAGAATCTTACTGGGTAAGAGCAATGAGAAGGATGAAGAGTCTTACCCCGTAAATAAAGATGACGACTCTTACTCAGGTAAATGCTTATCCGGTAAATTGTTGCATTCGATACGTTTTGATGTACTAAAATCTTACGCATCAAAGTAAATATAATGTTGACTCATATAGGTAAGCACTTTATGGATAAGCATTTGGGTAAACAACCTCTTAATAGTTAACTCTGAGATACAAGCATAAAAGTCACACCATGAATTTATTATGAGAAAATCACCAAAATAACCAATTTATACAACCCAATACAACAAAATAACCACTTTCTAGAGGTTTTGCCAAACTAACCACCCAAATCGCCCCCCAAGGGCAATCCACCCCCGGGGGCGAGCCACGTCATCCTATCGCCCATTACAACTTTTAACCCATTAAACACAATCAACCATCACGAAACATGAAATCACGTCAAAGTGATGATGTTTGTGTGTATCTTCAAAGTGACAGTTTATTCCAAGATATAAATGGTGTTGTAGAGTACCTTCCGATAACCTTCCCCACATATTCATCAAATTAAATGAACGGTTGAGATTGGATTGTATTGGTTGTACAAATCAACGTCATAGAGGTGTCATAACATGAAAAAAAAAACGGTCAAGCTACGTAAATCAGATATAATGTCTGATTTTTTCTCCAAAAATCAGCTAAAAATAATATTTTCGTAACCACAATTATCATTGTCTTATTTTATAACAAAAAACCATAAAATTTTAAATTAAATACGTTAAAAAACATAGTTTATGTATTGTTTTATTTTTATTAAAAACACCCCTTAATTATCAAATAAAAAACACAAAATGACGAAATAGAGGTCAAATTTCGTAAATCAGATATTAAATCTGATTTACGAAACCCAAATCAGATAAAAATAAATTTTGTGTCTCCATAATTATCATGGTTTATTTTTGCGTCTCTATAATCAGATATAATGTCTGATTTTTTCTCCAAAAATCAGCTAAAAATAATTTTTTCGTAATCACAATTATCATTGTCTTATTTTATAACGGAAAAACGTGAAATTTTAAATTAAAAAACACAGTTTATGTATTGTTTCATCTTTATTAAAAACACCCATTAATTGTCAAATCAAAAACACAAAATGACGAAATAGAGGTCAAATTTCGTAAATCAGATATTATATCTGATTTACGAAACCCAAATCAGATAAAAATAATTTTTGCGTCTCCATAATTATCATGGTTTATTTTTAAACCTTTACCTATGAAATTTGATTAAAAAAAGTTAAAAAATACAATTTAAATGGCGTATCAGTTTTATTAAAAATACTGCAATTTTTTTTTTTTTGAAAAACCAAACAATTCTAGGTTGGATCGCCTCCAAGGGGAGGGATGTTGACGTGGCTCTCCCTTGGGGGGTGATCGGGGTGACGTGGCTTAAAGTGGGACCCACTAACAAATTTTTTCCTTTATGAATAGTATGGATCGCCCTTGGGGGTGATCCGTATAGTTATTTTCGTAATGTCTTTAGAAAGTAATTATTTTGTTATAGTGGGTTGTACAAAATGATTATTTTGGTGATTTTCCCATTTATTATTATCAGATCAAAAAAAAAATTAAAAAAAAACCCAACAAACTTTTCTATTTTGAATAGTTTTGTGTTTAAACTATTTTTTTGAATGAAAAAACCATTACACATTTTCATTTTAAATTATTAAACATCTGAACTATCTTTTTGAATGAAAAAATCATAAAACTTTTTCATTTTGAATGAAAAACCATTAATTTTTTTCATTTTTATTGATTAAGTTTCTGAACATTTTTTAATAAATAAACAATAATACTTGTAAAAATTGGTTACCTAAATTCTTTTAACCCAAAAAAATTTACATTAACCGACTAGTAAAAGTCCGATAATTTATTTATTTAAAAAAAATTAGGGCTTAATCATTTAACAAAAAAGTCTAATGGTTTTTTTATTTAAAAAAAATAGTTTAAGAACTTAATTATTTAAAATGAGAAAATTTAATTATTTTTTCATTCAAAAAAAATAGTTTACAAATTAAACCATTCAAAATAAGAAAATTTGTTAGATTTTTTTAGACTTTCCCCATGGATCAATTAAAACCATATAAAATATTCAAGGAAAAGTTAGAAATTACGAACCCAAATCGCTACTTTAAACGCCTTTTTCCGAACATTGTTTTCATCGTCAAAAACTAATCTATGTTCTTACTTTTTGCTTCCATTACTTCAATTATTCACATTTTTGGTCCCACATCTATTAATTTACATATATAATTTTATTTTAAATGTTTTCGGATAAAATACCCTTATTTCAATAAAAAGGGGATGATTCATACATGAAAACTAAATATCGTGACAAAGTAAAAATCGAAGGGTTAGAAAATGGTTATATGTGAGTCATCGAAAAATCTGATTTTTTTTATGTGAAGATGCATTTATGAACGGACAACACATTATTCCTATCGGTTCATATATGCATCTTGAAATGAATTTTTAAATAATTCAGAAATGAATATTCTCTTCTTACTTTCTCGTGACATTTAGCATTTCTATTTGAAGCTCTCATCATTCATTAATAAAGACATGTAACTGAAACTCGTAAAATAGAATCAAAATAATCAATTACTCTTTACAAATATGGTAGCAGTGTCATGGTTTTTCTAGTCTAGGAGTTCATATAAATGGACAACACATGAATTGAACGATTTTTTCTTGCTTTGCAAAAACTGTTGTGATCCAAAACAAAAAAAAAAAACAAGAAATAATCACCAATAAAATCAATTTGGATCTTTTTAGAATCAACACCAAATAATCATCTATTTGTTTATGATTATGAATGGCCTTCGACACGTAATTGTGTTGCCACAGGGGCATGATGACTTTGTCTAAGTACAAGACAAATCCAGGTTTCGACCTCGGGCATCCTCAAGTGTCGGGTGCTAAATGGGTGAAAAACGTCTCATCACATTGGTGTTCTTTGAGGCAGGTTTGATGTGGGACCAGTTAGAACTGTTAGTAATCAACTTTTTTGTCGAATTGGTAATGGTTGAAAGTAGGGATGCTTATGGGTTGGGTCGATCGGGTTGAACACAATTGAACAACCCAAACCAATGCTCGCAGTTTGGAAAAATCTTAATCCAACCAAAACCAAAAGTGTAACCCAACCCAACCCATACGGGTTGGTCGGGTTGATACTTTGATATATTAAAATATTCTTCTAACCTTGAATATGTTATTTCTCTACTCATAATTTTTTTTTCATCATCAACCATTTGATACAACTTATCCATAATTCTAATGTATATCACATTCAATTAATTTTCTCAATTTACATATATATGTTCACAGTTACTGAAGATATATATGAATGAGTTATATAGAGATATGAATAGATTGAAAATATGTGTAACCCAATATCAACCCAATACCTATGGTTTGACAAATTTACAACTCGATTAGACATCGGGTTGAGTTATTTTACGTTGGGTTGATCGGATTTTTGAGCATCCCTTGTTGGTAATTTAATCTTAGGTTCGTGTATATTAGTTTGACTGATTACAAACAGCCAATAACAGCCCGTCTAGCTCAGTTGGTAGAGCGCAAGGCTCTTAACCTTGTGGTCGTGGGTTCGAGCCCCACGGTGGGCGTTATTTTTTATTGTTCAAATTTCTTTTGACTTTTACGGTTTGATCCTCACCGTTCAATTTTCTTTCTATACGTGTCAAAATCTGAGAGGGGGAATCGCTTAAAGGCGCCCACATTTGTCGATCAGACGTCACGCATGCTTTAACTATATTTTAAATCGATCAGAGTCATTTACCGCGATCTCACTCTCCAAACCCCCAAAAGCACTTCAACGCGTTCAGACACTGGCCCTCGTCTCTCTTGATCTCTTCCCTGTAGATCACCGGATTCCTTCGTCTCTGCAGATCCGATACGCTACCGGAGCCGCCGACGATGACTATCTCCGTTCAAAATCTCTTAATAGAACGCAGATATCCTTTCATTGCATCTCTCTTCCTCCTACTTCTCTTCGTCTGCTTCTTCATCCTTTCCACCAACACTTCCCAACCACCGCCTCTCTACCGTGTCCTTCAACCCTCTTCTCATCCGACGGTCACACAAAACATCTCTAGCACAACGGCAACGGTGCCAGTACTAGAAATAGACGGTAAAAAAAGTAATATTGCAACAGATCGTGATTTGGATGATAGTGGTGGTGGTGCCGACTTGGTATTCGAATGGGAGCTGTGTCCGGGTCCACTGGCGGTGGATTACATACCGTGTTTGGATAATTACAAGGCGATAAAGTCCTTGAAATCGAGAAGGCATATGGAGCATAGAGAGCGACATTGCCCTAAACCTAACCCTCGTTGTTTGATTCCGCTTCCTGTTGGATACAAGGTGCCAGTTCCTTGGCCTAAAAGTAGGGACATGGTGAGATTGCTACTTTGGTAAGGTTTATTTCTATATTTAACTTAAATATTCTTTATTGAAATTTTGCGTCAAGAAGTTGTTGGTTTGTGTTATTCAGCTAGGGTTATTGGGGAGATCTGTTAAGGTTGTTTATTTATTAAATAAGTGGTACTGCACACACTCAATTGTATGGAGATTCGCCTGTGTACTGATTTTATATTACCAAAGAAACAAGAGTCCTGCACGAGCAGGTTACCATATTTTAATCCCATTAAGAATTGCCACTTGGGGAAATAGATACATATTATAACTCGATATGATGATTACAGTTCTGTAATTCAGATTGGAAAAAGCAAACTTTTATTTTTTAAACATAGCATCATTGAAAGACCATTTAATTTATCCTAAGAAATGAGACCTACTTTTGTTTAGAGTAAAAAGCGGGATACTATATTTGCACATTTTTCTGAAAGGAACTTGCTCATTTAAAATAGACATCAGTTATTCATGCTTCTATTTGATATTTTGGACGAGACATATTGTAGCTGGTAGACATTTCTTTATACCTATCCTGTTTCGAATTAAACTTGCTGTCCTTTTTTTCTAACCGCGTTCATTTGTTGGGTAACTGTTTCTCCAGGGTAATTTTTAAATTTTTTATATTATTTTGTTCATGTTAAACATACACATGTAGCTTTTGGTGAACATTTTGCTCTCTGGGCTTTCTGTGGTTTATGGTTTTGTCAGCTAATGCATCAATTTACAGATATGGTTGAACAATGTCCCCCACCTTAAGCTTGTTGAATACAAGAAGGAACAAAACTGGGTGAAACGATCTGGTGATTATCTTCTTTTCCCTGGAGGAGGTACTCAATTTAAGGAGGGAGTTACTCATTACATCCAATACATAGAAAAGGTAATACCTATCACAATGAAGTTAACTTTGTTATTTGTTTTGGGGTTTATTAAAAGCAACATGGGCCTAAAGACTTAGTTTGTGCATATACTATATTATTTGCTGGTTGTTCTATTGCATTTTTTTAAAAGTATATAATATTTATAAATGGCAGAATAAGTATTGCATTTTCTGAATGTAGAATGAATGAAAGCCCAAAAGTTCACTTGGTGTCAGAAGGGAGAGGAAGGGAGCGGGAGGGGGGACATTGAGCCGGTGTATTAGTTCGACCACATAAAAGTACAAAGTTGTATGGTAGTCTTGAATGACTTGTAAAATCGAACTCACATCTTGAAATAAAAAGGCTAATTTATAATTTCGAATCCACACTTTAGGAATCCCGAATTTGTCACTGCCTGGTATAATGAACAAGGTGACGATAAGCTCAACTGCGTGCTCCAATGGTAGACTTATTGCGGAAGTTTGCATGTTTGGACCAAATAATATTCACAAAAGCTGGTCTGTTGAAATAAGATGGTGCTTATGGTGTCAAGCACTTGCACATATTAATAGATGTCATATATTCGGGCTGTTTTCCTGATTTTTAATTGCTTATCATTCGCTTTATGCTACTGAATAGTCTCATCAATACTGAAAACTATATGGTAGCCATGCTGCTGGTTACAGACATCATTGTCCATCTGTTGCATTGTTGTGTACATGCTATGTTATAGGTACTTGCTATCATATTTGTTCAACTTTAGCTACTTACAGAGCAGAAAGATGAATATTCTCTTAGTTATGTGTTGATTGGCAGGACGCCCCAAGGCAAGGACTGTAAGAGTATTCTCTTGCATATAATGCTAGTCTGCTAGAAATCTTTGGATACTCTAAAATCTGATGCCCGTTAGTTCTGCGGCTGCATTTTAATATTTTTCTGGTTTTCTTGATTATTTTAACGTATTCACAATCTCCATATGTATATGATCATCAGATGCAGCAAGTGCACAAGAGAATTTATAGATATAGGTTGCCTTAGTGCCTACATTTGGTGGCTATATTCATCTCATCAATGTAATTGTTTTATTATCTCACCACTTGCTTATTTTTATGTTCTTCGTTTTCTTCTAGAATCTGCCAAAAATTGGTTGGGGAAAGCGCACAAGGGTGATTCTTGATGTAGGTTGTGGTGTTGCCAGCTTTGGTGGCTATTTGTTGGACAAAGATGTTATAACCATGTCATTTGCTCCAAAAGATGAACATGAAGCTCAAATACAGTTTGCTTTGGAGCGAGGAATTCCTGCCACTCTCTCAGTAATTGGAACACAAAGGCTGACATTTCCAGATAATGCCTTTGATTTGATTCACTGTGCGCGATGCAGGGTTCATTGGGATGGATATGGTATTGGTTTATCATACTTGTTTATCTATGTTCTGAGTTCTAGACAGTTGTAATCTTCATGGGTGAACTTTCAGGTGGAAATCCGTTGTTGGAGTTAAACAGGATTCTAAGGCCCGGCGGCGTTTTTGTTTGGTCGGCTACACCAGTCTACCGCAATGATGAGAGAGATAAAAAAGTCTGGGATGGTGAGTGTAGTGTAAATTCTAGACGTGTTTTCCTGTAGTTGCATGACATTAAATTGTTATCCAGAAACTGACCTCTCAAGTCTTCTGCTATTTATCCTAAAGTCAATCATCTATCTGGTTTGATTGAAGTTGTTTCTGTTTCTTGCAGCCATGGTGATTCTCACTCAAGCCATTTGCTGGAAGGTAGTGGCCAAAAGTTTCGATTCATCTGGAATAGGACTGGTTATATACGAGAAGCCTGTTTCTTCTTCCTGCTACAAATCACGTAAAGAAAACAATCCACCTCTATGTGATGAGCATCTCCGGCCAAAAACTTCATGGTAGATGAAAACATGTTGGTACTATTTCGAGTGGAAGTGTCATCATCATAATCATCTTCTTTTTTGTGTAGGTATGCACCCCTTGATGGCTGTATTTCTGCAATTCCACTAACAGAAACGGGAAGCTCATATGGATGGCCTACACCTTGGCCCGAAAGGCTCAAAAGTAAACCTGCAAGTCTTTCAACCGAACAAGATGCTGAAAGGATCTTTCATGAGGATACCAAACACTGGTCTGAACTTGTTGCAAATGTCTACCTAGGAGGCCTGGGTGTAAACTGGTCAAGTGTGAGGAATGTAATGGATATGAATGCTGGTTATGGAGGGTTCGTTTTTCATTCTATGTACTGTTCCTGATTAACGGATTTCACTGATTCATCATGTCTAAGATGTTTTGATTGCTGATCAGGTTTGCTGCTGCTTTGACTGATCTACCTCTATGGGTGATGAATGTTATTCCTGTTAATGGACCCGATACTTTGCCGGTAATATTCGACAGAGGGCTGATTGGTATCTACCATGACTGGTGTGAATCACTTAGTACATATCCTAGATCTTACGATCTTCTGCATTCCAGCTTCCTTTTTGGCAACCTAACACAGAGGTATATAGCTCTTTAAATTCACCCTTTTTATTTCAGCTCATGAGGATGCTTAGATACTAGGATTTGTCAATTTGAAAAATTAAGGAAACAAGAGTGTGGTAATATATGCATGTGTGTCTCTCTATATGTAATATAAACATAAAACCAAACCAATAAAAATAAGAAACTATCTTCATTGTTCACGCGGTAGATATATAAAATAGGCACATGCTTAAGTTCAAACCTTACTCTGATCTACTTTTACTTGATGAATCTATGGTCTTAACAGTTCAGGGAAAAGGATTTGACCTGTCGTAGTCTCCCCTTTCCTCTATCTCACAAGCATAAAATACATGTTTTTGTTTCTATATTAAGCAATACTTTCAACTTATAAATTTTTCTATATCTGTTTTTCTTCTTCTGAATATATCTAATTTATGTATTCCCAATCTCCGTATCCGGGTGTGTTTGTGTCACCACTTTCATGGGCCCTGTCAAAATTTGGGTGTGTTAGTGTCACCAATTTCATGGGCCCTGTCAAAATTTGGGTGTGTTTGTGTCATCAATTTCATGGGCCCTGTCAAAATTTCTGCTTCCATGGAGATTTGACAGTCTCAGAATATGTGGAACAACATTAGATTAATCTCCAAAAGAGGCTTTGAGGAGAGTAGAGAGGTTCCAACATATATGGAGGAAAAATGGTCCAAGTCAGACCGATGTGGGACTCCTACACGACCCCTCCAATGGAGGCTAGACGAGCTCAGATGGTTCTAGAGTGTCGAGAGGGGGCCAGAAGGATACAATTTTTTCCAGAGTGTCGAGTCCCTAGAGTGGTAGACCTTGGTTCTTATATCATGTGAGAATACGTGGAACCCCATTAGATTACTCTCCAATCGAGCCCTTAAGCAGAGAAAGAAGGTTTCAACATATAATGAGCAAAAATGGTCCAAATCTAGCTGATATAGAAAATCCCCTGTTTGCTTGATGTTTACTAGGGGAGAAGTAACACTAATATGGTATGCGGTTTATCCTGTTGCTTTATTGAAAACTTGTTTCTATTCAAATTTGCAGGTGTGAGATGTTGGATGGTGCAGTGGAAATGGATCGCATATTAAGACCAGGAGGAGTCGTGATAGTTGAAGATACCATAGAAATCTTAAACAAGCTGAGACCAATTCTGCATTCACTTCATTGGTCGGTCAACTTACACCAGCAACGATTCCTTGTTGGTAGGAAAGGTTTCTGGCGTCCAGATGGATCTCCCAAAACCTAATGGTAAACAATATTTTCCAATATAATTTCATGTATGATCTTGTCTTTTTTCTCTTATTCCAGTGCTCATTACCTGGACTGTCGTCTTAAGTTTATTGGGCGGGTGAAAAATGTTAAACCCTGATGCTCAAATAGAAAAAAACATAGTTCATCGGATCAGTTCTTTTATTTATATGAAATCTCAATCGAATTTTATTTAGCTGAAACATAATGATGTGGAACATTGGTTCTCACAACTCACTGGAACAAATGAAACATTGGTTCAACACAACATGCCAATCACTGCAACCGGTAACAAGAATCCTTATTTACTAGTCGATATTGTAGTACAAGTCATTCTCTGTCCGGGACTGTTAGTGCTACTATGATCTAGGTTGCCTCGGCAGCACTCAAGTCCTTTCGGCTTGTTTTTCCTTGACCTGCACGTGCGTTATGTTTGTGCACCTTGCGTGTATATGCTTAGCACTAACCACCTACAAGGGAAGGAACCAAGATCACTTATAACTAAATCAAACTTCCTTCATTATACTGCAGTATCATGTTGCATTTACAATGTGTCGTACAATACTTGAACTGAGTTGTGTCTTATATGTGCTACGCTTATTGAGTTGTACTTACACTAAGGCCCCCCGTTCTCACACTTAAGAGTTCAAGCTTAGGCCATAGATCATAACATGTTTCTCTTGAAAACCTGGCTATAATACCAACCTTTCAATGCCCAAAATCCGGAGTTGTGATGTCTAACTATCTCATAACACAAACCATAAAGACCAACATAACCAAAAATAAAAACTTAACAACTGAAGTCTAAACCGGAAACCAACACTTAGTGGCCGTTTGTCAAACGCTTATCCTGGTAAGTGCTTACCGGCAAAATTCAACACCATCACTTACTTACCGGGTAAGATTATAGTTGACCAAAACGGTATCGTATGAAACAATTTACCCGGTAAGCACTAACTGTGGTAAGAGTCATCGCACTCACTTACAAGGTAAGACTCTCAGTCCTTGAGTTCGTTCTTACCGGTAAAATTGTTGCTACTCCTAGACCTTCTCCTTGCACTTCGAGAGTTGCTTGCTATGGCATCCTTTGAGAGATGAATACTAATAGTCAACTAGTTTTCTCCAAACATACGTTTATAAAACCTAAAAAAGTACACTTGAAAACATGATCAGCAAAATAGAATTGTTTGAATAATCATCATAAAACATTACAATCGGAAACTCTGTGGTGTTATCTCACCAGGCAACTGTCAAAGCATATTGGGGCTACCTTTAACGATACATGTCCTATCCGTTAGTATCCAGACGCATTTTCCACATAAAACCATATCATGCATTTCATAAAATTTCAAGCATAACTACAGTACTGAGCGCAATCGTAAGCATATAAAACATGTAGCTATATATAAAACTTGTGACATAATGTAATAATTAATTACACATGTATTTCAGTTTTACAAATCATACTCAACTCAGAGTGTAAGCTTGTTGAAACGGGACTTATGTCACCGCTTTATTCCTCTGTCATGTCATAGTATAAAAAATTAGAGTATGGTGTGTGCAATCATATATATTTTCAAAACACAAGTTTCCGAGTTGGTCGGCAAGCTTTTCCCGTTTGTGTCATTTATTTAGTTTTTAGCTTTTAATTTCATATTTATTATGTTTTTAAAAAACAATTGCAATAAAATATTAAAGAATTAACCAAGGACCAATTTCTAAAAAGATATCTATATCTTGAATTTGAATTGCATAGTTTAGTGAACAATTGTTGTGGCCCTAGTAATTTTATAATTTATTCATTGACTAGGGGTGTTTGGGATTGTTTATTTAAAACAACTTATGTTTTTTTGTAAAAATGTTTATTAACTTATGTGATATCAAACCGGAGTTCTGTAAAAAAATGTTTGAATTAGCTTATAGCGGTACCAAAAAACAATAAACTGATAAATTGTTTTTAAGTGTTTGGCAAATTTTGTTTATATATGTAAAATGACCAAAAATGATAATCTTCCATATTATTGATTTATAGGAATGTTTGAGATTGCTTATTAACTTATTTGATTTTTTAACATGTAAAAAATTATTTTTCATCATTTATAATAATATCTTTAACAAAAATTTATATCAATAAGATTAATAATTAACAAACATTAATAAAACAAAGTTAAAATGATAAACTGGTAATAAACAATTTTTCATAAGTTATGATGGATTAACTTATCAAAAACTGCTTATTACCTGTATAAACAGTTTTATTTTTCTTCATCCAAACACTAGCATTTAGCTTATCACCGTTGACAGACTGAAATAAGTAAAAAAAAACACCTAAAATAAAAGCAAAAGAAGTTTTGGGGTGTCACCAATAAGGCGTGCATGGGCAATTGGCCATCCAAACAGAAAAAAGGCTTCGACCCAATTCCGTCTTTAACTAAACGGTTTGGCCTTTATTATGCGAGTGTGTGGCCTCCCTCTCCGGCTCCGGGAACAGTAACCCTTCCTTGTGACTGTAATGGCGGTCAGGTCAGTAACTCTTTTAGATCAATATACTTTGATGGTATTGGTGCCCTTAATCTTAATTAACGTCTTAATATAGACTTGGCTTGATTTCTTACTTTGATGCTTGGTCTAGTAAATCTCTATCCCTGCGATAATGGAGGGTTTACCTTACCCCCACATTCTTCTCATCTGAATTTGAATTAGTCAGTCAAAAATCCCTTGGATTTATCACGGGCATAATTATTTCTTTCTTTATTATAAACCAAATCCTAATATATATATGTAAGGTCATAATAACTTGTTTTCGTGCGATTACTTTTTTACACTTGAAATTTTATAGTCGAATGCTGTAAAGGTAAAAAAAACCGAACCCTCATAGTAAAAACATTGTGAAAATTACATTAACAACGTTTTACTATGAAGTTTCAAGTGTAAAAAAAAATGTCTCACAGGTTAAAAAAAAAAAAAAAAAGTTGATTTTATGTGATGCCAAATCTATATAGGTATGTTTGTTTGTATGTATTCTTGTCATATTTGCCACTTTACTCCCTTGGATTTATTTTTATTTTTATTTTTCTCTTCAAACTTTATCTTGTCTTCTCTTCACATACTCCACTCCTCCACAACTTGAACTCAAAAGTAATAAAAATAATTCAAATTGATAATTATACAATAAATATATATATATATATATATATACTAGAAGCGTACTCGCGCAATGCAGCGAGATAAATCGTGATTTTAATATTTCATTTTATTCTTTATCTCAGT